TATAAGGAGTTTCTTCCCCTCCCATCTTTTTATTTTATTTTTATTTTAAGAAAACGAATTAATTAACTTCTGAACTATTCCTCTTCTTTTTTTCTTTTTTTACTGTTAACGACCGGCTTAAGGTAATCGTAAAAGGGCATTATTTATTTTCCCCTTTTAATTTCTCTCAAAACAGAGTCTAGATATAAAATGTATAGTTAATTTAAAGACCTCGCTGGTGTCTAAGACCGGCTGGGGACGAGACTTTTCTAAATAAAAGAACAACGTCCCACCCACCTGCCGTCATAGACAGTGGCCACAAGCAGCCGGTGACGAGATCTAAAGAGCCACTCTCGTCCTCCAGCTCTCGCAGGTCAATCATAGATGAAAAAGTATCTCACTCGTCCAAATCATTTATGCTTTCCAAAAATATTTCTATTCATCAGCTGTGCTTCACCAGGCATTAACGTTAATCCTCCTGCTAAGATTGTAAGATTACATGGATATTTACTATTAAAGGGGGGAGAGCAGAAACAAATCGACGATTATGTTGTATATTTCAGGTGCCATATGTCTCGATCAACTGAAGTGTCTAGGACCAGCTGGGGACGAGACTTGTCTCAAAACACGTCCCGCCCTCCTGCCGTCGCAAAGACCATTCAGCCAATCAGCATGTCCGGCGTTGGTGACCACGAGAAGCCGGTGACGAAAAAAACAAAATAACACTTTCGCCCTCCAGCTCTCGCTGACCAATCATAGCTGAGGAAGCCACTCACGTGTTCATGGCTATTGATTAGTTGGATTACTTTGCTTACCAAATGGAAAAGGAAAGAGAAATGCGATGTACATGTATGTATGTAAGTTATACACACACACACACATGCACACCAAACCACTCCCCCTCTCCATTTGTAAATATCTTTAAAAGGAACCTGTTCTATAATTTGCGTTGTACAGTGTTCACATTCCTCTAATAACACATTTTAAAGATTAAGTAACAAGCTAGACATCTCATGGAATGCAATAAGGCAAACCTATGCCTATATTAGTACAAATTGGCGGGTACTATTTTCTCTTTACATTCATGAGTTTTGACTGGTGCTTTAAATTGCATGGTACTTCCAACCAGATTACATCTCATGGAATGTCGCAAGGCTTACATTCTTGAGTCTTAAAATCTATACCTCCAAGTACGATATGGCGGGGAATTTTTTTTTTTTTCACTTTACATTCCTGAATTTTCGACGTTTGGAGAATTCGTTAATGCAAAAACAAAAGTTCTCACAACAGTTCTTTTCCAAAATACACATATTCAGGGATTGAACTTTAATATAATATAATTACAGTTTTTGTAAGTATATTTCCAGCTGGAGTAAAATACATCTCTAAACCCACCAAGGTTGCATAGATTTTCACTCAATGATGGAGACTAAGGGGGAGTAATAACCTCTTCCTTCCGTTAACCCTGACTACATTCTCAGATCCATAGCTCAATTGTTGATGAGGCGTTCCTACTCCCCCATAGCTTTAAAATGTATACGCAGTTCAAAAGAGACATTTTCATCTTAGGTTCACAGGTGTGTTCAGATCTTCTTTTCATTATCTGTTACATAATCCATTATAATTACCATTTTCTTTCAACGTTCAATAAACACACTTCTCACAACATCAAGGGAATGTCAACACCCCTTTCTCAATATCAAAGTGAATTTTCCTTCCCAAACGTAGCCCCAGTAAGTTAAAGGCACCACAATATTTTCAACTATGTCAAATAATAATGCGTATTTTTATATATCAAGAAATAAGGAGTACAATCCATCTTCGTAAGGAGTTGATAATCCCTCAAATTGCATGAACTGTTAGACACGGCCTTTTGTCCCTCAAAAATGCTGCCCCTGACGTCACTATATGTTTTTCATTTATGTGACTGGTGCTTTAAATTACGGTACATGTACTTTCAACCAGATTACATCTCATGGAATGTCACAATGAAGGCTTAAATTCTTGATTCGTAAAATCTATACATACAAATACAATATGGCGGGAAATGTTTTCACTTTACATTCCTGAATATTTTACCGTTTGGAAAATGTATTTATGCAAAACAAAAGTTCTCACAACAGTTCTTTTCCAAAATAAACATTTCCAGGGATGGTACTTTTAATATAATTACAGTTTTTGTACTACATACTTCCAGCAGGAGTTAAGTACATCTCTAAACACCCCCATGTTGCATATGATTTCCACTCAGTGATGTAGACTAAGGGGAAGTAATGACCTCTTACTTTACCCCGACTTCATTCTCAGATCCCTATAGCTCATTTGTTGATGAGGTATTCCTACTCACCCATAGCTTTAAATTGTATACACAGTTCAAAAGAGACATTTTCATCTTAGGGTCACAGGTGTGTTCAAATTCTCATTTTCATTATCTGTTACATAATCCATTATAATTACCATTTTCTTTCAACGTTCAATAAACACACTTCTCACAACATCAAGGGAATGTCAACGCCCCTTTCTCAATAGCAAAGTGAATTTTCCTTCCCAATCTTAGCCCCAGTAAATAATGGTACCACAATATTTTCAACGTTTTAAAATGTGAATGCGTATTTTTATATGAAAAGAAATAAGGAATATAATAGATTTTTATGAGAAGTTGACATTCCCTAAATTGAAATTACCAAACAAACTATATACCGGCAGATATAAAAAAAAAAAAAAAACATAAAAAAACTTGCTTTTCATTTTCTCCTTTTACCCCAGATGGACAATTGACACAAGAATTTCCAAGATAAAAAAAATAAATAAAGACTCAGAAACATGCTAGTATCAGTTTACCCAGTAAAAACATACTGAGTGCAGAGGAAGGGTCAATACCTTACATGTAAACAAAATAGCATATTTGGCAAAAAAAGGAAAGAAAGATCCCTCTTTTCTTTCATTTTCCTTCACTCGGCTCCTATGTTTGCAAATTCCACCCTACTTTATAAAGCTTCACCTTATGATTTCCCATGAAATTAAAGCAGAGCTAATTGAATAGCTCATTTTTCCTTGTGATTTCCCATGAAATTAAAGCATAGCTTGAATAAAACAAAAAAACACTTCCTTTAAACATGTTAAAGTCATGGCAATACCTCATCGTGTTTTCTTAGTCACTTGTCTCTTTAAAGTTTTATTTTCTTACAGTTCTTTATCATGCTTATTCTTATTTTTTTAAATATTTTTTTCTGGTATACATTTACCTCCATCGTTTCTCATCCAGCGGTGTTACTCTTATCGTTTGTAGTATCTATTCCCTGCTCCTCCTCTTGGTTATTGACGAACCATACAGTCCTCAACAGCTGGAGTTATGTCCCTTCTTTAAAGATTACCGCTCATGATGTTTGCCTCACCTTGTCCCAATCACAGGACTGGATGAAAATCATACACATGGCTCCTATGTTTGCAAATTCAAGCACACTTTATAGAGCTTCACCTTATGATTTCCCACGAAATTAAAGCAGAGCTTGAATAGCTCGTTTTTCCACTCGTTCAAGCATCAGCTGTATACGATGATCTGGGAAAACTGGATACCTAACAAACCAGACAAATTAAAATCCGCGCTTTCCATGGTTTTGTATACTATCAAACGCAGCAATAACAAATTATTGATTCCATGAAAGACCTACTTTCTCCGAATGTTTTCGGCTTGAATGGTGTCGTAACATTAACGCTGCACTTTCATGATGATCCTTTATGATTTTGTCGTTATTCACAATTCCATTAAATCATCAAATTATAACTCCATGGCACCGGTCTCTCCCGCCACCTCTGTATCTCCCTTTAAGGCTCCCGCTGTAGCTCCCTTAGTGAAACTCGCTATGGCTGACACGGTGACTCCCGCTGTAGCTCCCGCCATAGCACTCAATATCGGGATCTTCGTTAACGGTAGCTTCCTTCTAATAGCCCCTTGCTGGCGTTCGAAATTCCCTTGCATCTCCCGGACAAAGGCTTCTTGCTAATTTGGAGGCATACACACTTTGTCGATAACATTTTTTGCGGGAACAGCCCGCGAGAAAAAGGCTTACTTCCCGACTCGTCTCGCGGCTTTCAAAGCAGCAATTTGAGGTTGCCGCACCTCTCGTACTCTCTTTGGCATATCTTCGGATATATACATGGTTGTTCCTTTTAAGTTTTTAGCATGTTGCTGCACTAACACTCTATCCGCGTACCTGACGAAACGGGCTTTGATGGCTCTTGGTCTCCCTCTCGCCCCAGCATTCCCGAAAAGGCGATGTACTCGCTGGTATTCTATCTTGTCGGCAAGTTCGACGGGAATCTGAAGCTGTTCAACATGCAGATCCCGAAGGACCTGCTTAACATTCTCATTCTGCACCTCTGGGATTCCAGTATAAATCAAGTTCTCCCTGGCTACATAAGCACTTAACTTGTCAATCTCATCTTGAAGTAATTTTTCCTTTAAACTTAGCTCCTTCTCTACGCGGTCCACTTTTCCCTTTTCTTCCTGTACTTCTTTGCTTTGAAATTCAGCAGCTTCCTTTAATCCATTTATCGTTACTTCTAAATTTCTCATCCTCTGTCCAAAAGTTTCTTCCAGAAGGTCCAATCTGCTCTCTATTCTATCCCACTGATCATTAAGGAGTATACGTATGGATGGTATCACGTCGGGGCTAGGCGGCGTTGCCGCCCTAGCCCGTTTCGATGTGGCCTTTCCTCTTTGAGAAGTCATGATGGGAGAGGCTCGAGAAAGCACGTCTTACCTCCTCACGAACATGATATGTACATTATAAGTTCATTTGTTTCATTTGTCACTGATGTCAAGTTTTGTGAAACGCCCCCCTGGTATGTACACTAGTACAGTGGTGTATTTATGTATTAAAAAAAAATCAACTAAGAGAGTTTCTGTTTTTTTAAATGGTCTGTACATTGTTTTCATATAACATACATTGTAAATTCAAATGCAGATTTAAAATCTGATACTTGGTGGTTTTACAAATGGTCTGTTTCTTCTCAAACAGATTCCAGAATTGAAAGCGGACATTTGTATTCCAGATTACTGTTGCCTGCATCTAGCAGATCGCACATCTAAGGTTCCAAGAAAGAGGATAAATCCATCTGAAAGTGATGATGCAAGAGAGACAGACGGAGAAGGTGAGAGAAGGTTTGGCACTAAAGGAAGGTGGCCATCTGAAAGTAATACAAGCAAGACTGTGACAGACCACGAAGAGGGGAATCAGGTGGACATTGGTGTGAAAGATGGAGTGATGGCAGAGGAGCAAAGAAAGGAGAGAAGAAAAAAAGAAGGAGAGAATAACGTGAAAGAACAAGGAGAAGATAGATGGAAGGAACAAGGCATGAAGAGAACGTTATTAGGACAAGGAAAAGATGATTATAAGGAGGAGGAGGGAGAGAAGGAGAACAAAGAGGTGGAGGAGGAGAAGGAGAACAGAGAGGAGGAGGAGGAGGAGGAGGGAGAGAAGGAGGAGGAGGAGGAGGAGGGGGAGGAGGAGGGGGAGGAGGAGGAGGACATTGATATCAATGCTTGGTTTGGGCCTGCTGGCACAGTCTCACCTCTACACTTTGACCCCAAACACAACCTTCTTTGTCAGGTGAGTCAATTACCTATGCAGAATAACTGCTATTTTTATTATTTTTTTTATGTATTTGGCATTTCAAACATACAATAGAAGGTACAATAGAATGGCACATAGGATACAAAGTATGAAAAAATAAAATTGGCTTCCCCTGCTGCACCTCCCGAAGTTGCCGGGAAGAAAAAAAGGAATGTGAAATTCTTATAACCCGTATTAAGTCTATCATGAGTTTTTAACCAAACTTGGCAGCAAGGGAATGTAGAACGATATTGTTGTGTTCTGAATGATTTTAAGGGACCACTGTTACACACACTTTTCATCTTCTTCATTTTTCAATAAGTTGAAATCGTACTAAAAACTCAAGTTTATAAATGATATGAGGGACTTTTAGATTTGCACAACGACAACGCGGATTGCTACGATCGACTTCCTTTTAATGCACTGCCTTGAATGGACGTCACACGTATCAGTCCACGCAAACCTAAAAGTCCCTATGTATGAAATGTCATGAAAATTACTCCAAATAAGTTCTGTTCCCATCATCTTTAACCCGTGTAAAAGTCATCTTGATTCTGGTTGTGTTTTGAGGAATTTTCAAGCAGAATTTTTTTTCTTCATTTATTAATTAATTAATTAATTAATTATGATGTGGTGTGCAAATCCACCTAGTATAATGTGCGTATATACATGCATGATGAACTTCTTCAATTTTCTTGTGCCATTGAATCCTTTCTTTGCTTGATACAATCCCAGGTTGTTGGTAAGAAATACATCCGCTTATACTCCAAGGATTCTACTCCACTCCTCTACCAGCACGAGGGACTACTCTCAAACACCAGTCAGGTACAATCAGGGGGGCGTTTCACAAAACTTGTCATCAGTGACAAATTACAGTTTTTGTTATAGGCTACTGATATCCTTGCTTCTGATTGGTTATCAAAAGATTTGTCACTGATTTTTGTAATTTGTCATTAAAAAAGGCTTTGTGAAACGGGTCCCTGGATTTTAGTTATTTTCTTTATTGTTAAAATGTACTATCCCCCCCCCCCCCCCCCAACAAAAAAAACCCCTGGATTTTAGGGGTTCCAAATCTCTGTACTTTATTTAAAATAGGAGCTTTAAATATTACGCAGTTGCTGCAACTGCAAGTCTTCAGCCCCACTGCACTAGTTTGGCCAGGAGGGATTAGACCTCCCTGCATCATCACTGACAGGTGGTTATCTCATCAAATAAGCTCTCAATTAACATAAGAAAAAGCAGATCATGGGGGACCAATGGTCACCACTTAGGCATTGTTTGCTATATAGAGGGCACAAGTAGCTATAAGTAGTGCAGTGGTGCTTTAAGTTCACTTGCAGTTAACATAATAGGGACTTGTGGCTTGACTAGTTGATGCGCCTGTATAGAATGTGGCCCAATCGGAACAAAAGACTTGCATTGCGTGTGTGGGGTTTTTATAAAATGATTTAATTTTTTTTACATGCCACTGAAAGATAGTTGAAACATTTGAAATACAATTATATCAAGGTGTTCTTTGGTGTTTTGTTTGGTGATGTCATTGTCATTTTAGGAATTTATTTTGAACCTGGTACCACCATGTCTCTACTGGGAGATGAAATCATTTTGTTGTTATAACATATTGATTTACAAAAGCAAGATCAAATGTAGGACTACTTACATCTTGGTCCTGGTATTTGAAAAACATAAAAACTACCGTATTACAAATAGGTAGAATAACCAAAAAGAGAACTCAAGGTGACACAAATTATGAAAAATAAAACAAATAAAACAACAATTTAAGTATTCATTCATTTGAAAGATGACTGATGTTTCCTTTTCTCTTTCCAGGTGGACGTTGAAAACATAGATGACGAGGCTTTCCCTCTGTTCAAGCAAGCACCGTACCAGGAATGTATCTTATCTGAAGGAGAGATGCTCTACATACCCCCTCAATGTTGGCATTATGTCAGGTCACTCTCTCTCAGCTTCTCCGTCAGTTTCTGGTGGAGATGACCATAGTAAAGTTCATTAAAGAGCAGTCCAACCTTTGTCATAAGTTCATTTGCATAAATCAGCAGAATTACGCAAAAAGAGAATGACGATAGTTTGAAAAAAATTGGACCAATAATGTGAGAGTTATATACGGTATGTTTTAAAAATGAGTCATGTACAAAACTATCTGTAATTTCTGATTTTCTCCCAAGTGCCTTCTCCCTTGGGGCACTACTCAAAATTGATGATGGATAGCATAGTATTATAAGTCCTCTGAAAAGAAAAGATCCTCCACAGTAAAACATTTTGAATAAAAAAATTATTTGAAATATTTTTTTTTTAAAGTCAGTCATTATGTGTATTAAAAAAAAATGGGAGAGTCTTCGGGCACTACATCACAGTGACATTACAGATAGAGCCAATTTGAAGTGCCTATACATACAGTGATGATAACTGGCATATTTATAACTTTCTGTTTTAGGGAATGATTTTATTCAAACTTTCTGCTTCTCTCATTTTTCTGCTTTATTTTAGAGCAGTTATTTATTTAGGTTGGATTTTCCTTTAGTAAATGCAATCGAGTGCATCAACAAAGGGATACCTTTAACCCTGTATGCATACAGTTGATGGAGTTCATGACTTCATGCTCATCAGTGTCTTTGAAAGTAATTGCAAGTAATGATAAATAATATTAAACTAATAAAAACAAATCCTGCTATGTTATAACATCAATACAGTTGTCACATTTAAGCTTTTAATACAGAAAGAGCTTTCCTGTTTGTTTGTGATTTTGGCTGAATGGATTGTGAAAAAAACGAGATAAGATGCAGAGAGGATGACGCGGAAAAAACCTTTAAAGAATGGGAATGTCACAGAAATAAAGAGATGCAAGAGAGCAATAGAAAGATGAAAGGGAGAAATGCTGGCATACTTGAGTGCGACAGAAAGTAAATAGTGATCGAGAAACGATAACTGAAGACTGATTTTGTAGAACAGAAGGATGAAATGACAAGAGGATTATACAAATGTATACAGTATGTACACGTTATATGTGAGAGATGAGTAGGTTAAAGTTTGTATGTATTAGGAAAGTGAAGAGTGAGAGAAAGGGTGAGAGAATTAAGAGAGAGAGAGAAGAAAGGGAGGGAAAGAATGTTAAGAGAGAGGGAAATGAGGTAAAGAGGGAGGGTGGGAGGGGAAGAGATATATAGATAGAAAGATAAAGAGAGAGAGATAGTAGAGGGGGAGGATAGAAGGAGAGAGAGGGAGGAGAAGAGATGTAGATAGAAAGATTGAGAAAGAAGGGGAGAATTAAGAGAAAGAAGGCAGGGAAGTGAGTAAGAATAAGAGGAAGCATGTGTTGGAGGTCTTGAAAATGGATTAACGGGAGATGCAATCGTCCAAAAACTATTGACTAAAAAAAACACTAGAAGAAAAGGACCTACAAAAGTACAAATAAAAGCTAATCAGGAAAGTGATTACCTGGGCCCGTTGCATAAAACTTAGTGATTGCAACAGTACCATCAATATTATCTACCATGGCAACATCCCTCTACAGCCAATCAAATCAATGTTTCAATGGAAGTCGCCATTAACGGCAAAGTTACCATCAATGGTACGTTTTATGCAACGGGCCCTGGAAAAGTTTGAACCTGTTTTTATTGGCCGCCCACGATCAAAAGAAAGTGTCCATCTTTGGCAGACTCCTAGTCAAAAACACTCATCGATACAATCACAAGTCTACTTCAGAGAACAAGAATTTGTCCTACTCTTGAACCTGTTTCTAAAGGCCGCCCATGAAGAGTTCACCTCTGGCAGACTCGCAGTCAAATACACTCATTAGGGACTTTTATATTTGCCCGACGAGAACATGGACTGCTCGTGTGACATCCTTTTAAGACAATGTGACGTCACTCCCAGTCCCTTAAAAGGACGTCACATTGCCTTAAAAGAATGGCACATGTCGCAGTCCACGTTCTCGTTGTGCAAATCTAAAAGTCCCTATTAATACAAGTAGAGCATCAAACACATATCAATACAATCACAAGTTTTTTTCAGAGAACAAGAACTTGTCCTTTCTGTTTATTCTTTTGTAGTTGAGATCATGTAAAATGTACAGTGTCAAAACAAGAAACAAAAGACCACATACTTACTAACTACAAAATAATACAGGCAATATGAAATGTACAAAAATGGTCAAATTCTGAATAGAAAAAAAAAGTTTGATATATTGTAGCAGGTAGAAAACAAATCGTAAGAAACAACTTATCTTTACAAATGTAAATCTTGCGTGCTGTACAGAGTCCTTATTCAGGCATAATGATGAATTTATAAATACATGTATACATACAGCACTGATCTTATCTTGTGTCTATGAATAGAGTATTTACTTTAGTAACAGTTTGATATTCTCCAGCCATACTTGACTACCTCTATGTAGGTCTGTTGCATGTTGGTAGGAAACAAGTCCCATACATAATTTACAAGACAATTCCCAAAGTGTAAATTAATCCTGAAAGGAATTGCAAGTTTATCATGCAAATGTACTGACCTGATAAGTTTTAATATGTATCGATTGTCTCAGATTTCTAGATATTTAGAAAATATATTTGATACAAATGCAAAGCCGGGAATGATAACTTCTGAATTCTGCAATATTGACATTTGTACAAGTGTAATTTCATTTTTTTTTCTTTTGATAAATAGAAATGTTTAATTAAATTCTTTTGTATGTGTCGCTTGTGAATATAACCTCTTTTTCATTATGCCTGATTTGCATTTTTCTATTCATTGTTTGTCTCAGTAAAAAATGCCATTTATTCAAAAATAGAGAGAGAGAGAGAGAGATGGAGAAAAATCCTTAACAATAGGTGAAGCAATATTACAAAGAAAAGAAAAGAAAAGAAAATACCAATACCTGACCAACTTACTACTTGTACATGCACCATATAAAAAAATCCCAAATATTCCTAATTACATAATGTTTTACAGCCTACATTTCTACATCATAATTTAACACTTCCATTCATCACTCACTCCTTCAAGGTTTGTTATTTACATGGGTGTAAGAATATATAGGAATGATAGATTCATCTGATGTACTCCAAAATTTCTTCATCAATTTTCCAGATGCATTATATTCATATACAGGAATATGATATTGTTTGCTCAGGGCCGTAAGGGCGTTAACTCTGTGTTGAAGTAACAGCCTTCCGGCACTAAACAGACGATATCGTCATATCTGTCTCCAATGGCCATCTCACTCATTGTCACAAATCTAGGAAGAAGAAATATGTCTTGTTAGGGATGCCAGTTAGAATTGAGGGCCTGAAAATCACCTAGAATGGGCTATTTTGTACACAAAAAAACCTTAACTATGGCCTGAAAACTGGCATCCCTGTGTTGTACAACCAGTTAAAAAAAGCTACTTGTGTACACCTTTTCCCCTTGCACCCCCTCTTAAAGACAACCTTCACTGCATTTCTTGCAGTTCCATGGATAACGTTAACATTTTAGAATGAGGAAACATTTGAAATCATCATTCTTTTGAAGCCAGATAAAAAAATAAGTCAGTTGATCACTCATAATTCCCTCGGAAAATATACACAGGCCCTTGTAACTGCTGTCATAATTCAACTTAAACAAGAGATAATTTGAAAAATGATCTCCCCAGTTAATTATTTTTGTCGTCATGTTGGGGGGGGGGGACTAGAAATACATTTGTTGTTGGATAGAATATGCTCTAAGATTACGGAATTCTATAACTAGTCTGTCCTATAATACATTCCCTTCAGCTAGGACCTTACTTTGAGGTACTTATTTACATTCATTCCAAGGTCACTTGATGGCATATTATACCAATTCTTCTTCTTTCTTCAATCTCATAGTGAATGCATGGTCCAATTAATTTGTTTAGTTAACAGCAACCCAGACATCAAAGCCATGTTCAGATTACCAGAATTTGCCATATAGCAGCTATATTGAAAAGTGACCACCTAGATCAGTCATTTTCTAGTCTGAATTTCTTATAAAGAAACATCATATAATAAAATGCATGTTTGAGCATCGTCTCCAACGAAACTCATCAAAGAATAAGGGTCCCCGCCCAATCTGAACGTCATATCATATAATATAGTATAACTGTGCTGGGCTTGTTATCAGTGTGCATTGATGGTTGGCCACCTGTCTTCTCAAGTGACCTGATCAAAATAAGTTTCTTTATACAGTCAAACCTGCTTTAGTGACCACCTACCTGTCTACAAAGACCACATCTTTTGTTTCCCTTGATAATGGTTTCTCATTGAAACATGTACTAAAGGAACCTGTCTACAAAGACCATTTTTTATGTTTCCCTTGGGCGGTCGCTATAGACAGGTCTGACAGAACAACGTTTCTTTACAAGATCTTGTTTTGTAGTCTGTACGCTTCTTCCGCTATACACTAATACTTTATACATTTCTTTATATGAGTTTTTATGTAAACTTCCTAAATCATGAACAGGCTGATAGAGAATTTTGGTCCCTCGAGTGATGGTAGTAAAATCAGAGTTTCTCATAACGCTGCATGCTCTTGTGAAATGTGCGTCCTGAAATGTGTGTCCTGAATAGGGTTCAGGCACTTGGATACGAGGTGTTATCAACTATCAAGAACTTTCCAAGAGTTTAAATAAATAGAGGATAACAAATCACCAAACAGATCAGATATACCATGCTCAAACCATACAGACACTACTTTAGAGAATTTTGGCATAATTCTGAGATAACCACCATGTTTCTAATGTACTGTGTTCAAGTGTCACACTTCATGTTATAAACAAGAGTTGAATATTTTTGAACAATTATGCCCATCCTTCTACTTAACAAAAAAAAGTTTCATTTTTAGATGATGTAAATATATGAATATTCACATCAACAATATAGCTTTCTTCTATTCACCTACTTTCAAAGAAATTGAAATAACAAAGTATGTATTCAATACTTCAGGTAACACAGCAGCGTTTTTTTTTAAATATCATGATGTAAGTGTAAATACACTACACATTTCTCAGTGAAACACCTTTGTTACAAAAAACCTAAAATATGCAGAGGTTTACAACTTTATTTCTGAACAAGCTTTACTACCTGAACAACTTTTACTACAGGAAAGTTCAGATGGGTTGTACTAATAACATGACTTCTAGAGCACATTGAAGCACACCTTCAAAGCTATGTCAGGGAGATCAAGGAGATCAGAGGGATTGCATTGTTTACTTTGAATGATCTTACTTCACGCAAGATGGCATGGGTTTGTACAGTTCTTCTTGGACTTGGCATTATTCACGACATACTATCTTCAAAATTCAAGATTTGAAGAATGAGGGGGATTCTAGTCCAAACATATCACACAAGATAGGTGGGGTTTCTCTCAAGTTTATTATCCTGGGATGGTTGTCATCATCAATCTTGCTTCTCAGCTGGAGCGGAGGCAGGGGTAGGGGTAGGAGCAGAGACAGGGGGGTCTGCAGGGGGCTGGCTGGTTCCTGATGATGGGGGGATGGTGACTGCCGGCAGAGTGGCACCCTCACTTGGGGCACTCACTTTGGGGACAGGTACAACAAGGTCGGCTGGAGAAGCTTCACCTTCACCTACAGAGGTCAAAGGTCATAGAAGGGATAAAATTGTGTATATTGTTAAATTTCAATGTTCTTTTCATACAATGCATGCCAAACAAATAATCACACTGTGCTCCATTGTATGTTCCATGGCACCATGAAGTTGTGTGATCTAATGTAAGTTAATGTTTAATATTTCTTTAATCTTAAGTATGTTGAATATCAATTTAATTTATTTGTATGCGCCTTGAGCATCTCTAGAGATGGATATGTTGCGCTTTATAAGTATTGTTATTATTATTATTATTATTACTACAACAGAGGCATTGTCGGGACTCCTCCCAATCATTTTTGTCTTTAGTGATGTGATAATTGTTCTGAATTGAATCACTCACTAAATTATTGAATTAATGACTGAATTTTCAAAATTGGGGGGAAAAGGCTGATGACCTGAGGAAAAATAAAGCATTAGATCGTAAATACCCCTAATTTTATATAATAAATATTAAATGCATTTCATTGTTCAATACAACGTATAGTCATCCCCAAATTCAGAATTCAGAATGCAATTTTTTTCAAACCTCGGCCCTCGGCCCGAAGAAAGATAAAATCACTTGGGAAATTCAATATTGGTATGATTTCCGCGAACATAATCTAATATTTATTTTGCTGAGTAAAAAGACAGAAATAATTTGATTGGGGATACACAAGAACCATACATGATGGAGGCAACACTTACCTGGTTCTTTCTCAGCTGGCTTTGCCTTTACCTCTGTTGGTTTGCTGGCTTCTGGTTTGTCTTCACTGTAAGGTAAACAAACACAAAGAGAACATTCAATCATTGACAGTCCATATTGCATATATACAGTTCGTTCGTTCTTACAAAGAATATCAAGGAGTACATCATCTAAATAGGAAGATCCTTATTTAGCCAACTGATGGTCTCGTCATCGAGCTCTTGAAGTCCAGAAGCACCTTGAGGAGATTTGTAGGACAAGCATCGATGACAAAATCCATAGTTTGGATATCTCCACAGGCACAGTTTGGCAATGGATCAGCTCCAATTTTTTTCTCCCTCTTTGGGCTGATATTTCTCAGTTTTGAATGCTTTAATATTTGTTTTCTCTAAAAAGGCGGAAAACAAAACTTTAAAAAAATAGATGGAATTTTGACTGCGCGCAGTCGAAAATGATGCCTCCGCCATAGAGCAATTTAAACAAGTTTGGAGTTTAAATCTCCAGTGGTTCTTGAGATATCATGATAACAATCTCAATGTATGGAATTTCATAAGTTGACCTCTGTGACCCTTGACCTTTGACCTACGTGCTCCAAAATCTAATCAGATTGTCTTCCTATGGTGATACACACTATCATTAAGTTTGAAGTTTAAATCTCCAGTGGTTCTTGAGATATTATGATATGGTGATACATACTATCATTAAGTTTGAAGTGAAAATTCTCCAGTGGTTCTTGAGATATCGCGATAACGATCTCAATGTATGGAATTTCATAAGTTGACCTCTGTGACCCTTGACCTTTGACCTACGTGCTCCAAAATCTAATCAGATTGTCTTCCTATGGTGATACACACTATCATTAAGTTTGAAGTTTAAATCTCCAGTGGTTCTTGAGATATTATGATAATAATCTCAATGTATGGAATTTCATAAGTTGACCTCTGTGACCCTTGACCTTTGACCTACGTGCTCCAAAATCTAATCAGATCGTCTTCCTATGGTGATACATACTATCCTTAAGTTTGAAGATTTTACATCTCCAGTTGTTCTTTAGATATCATGATAACAATCTCAATGTATGGAATTTCATAAGTTGACCTCTATGACCCTTGACCTTTGACCTATGTGCTCCAAAATGTAATCAGATTGTTTTCCTATAGTGATACACACTATCACTAAGTTTGAAGTTTAAATCTCCAGTGGTTCTTGAGATATCATGATAACAATCTCAATGTATGGAATTTCATAAGTTGACCTCTGTGACCCTTGACATTTGACATACGTGCTCCAAAATCTAATCAGATCGTCTTCCTATGGTGATACATACTATCCTTAAGTTTGAAGTTTAAATCTCAAATGGTTCTTGAGATATCGCGCTAACAAACTCAATACAAGGAATTTCATAAGTTGACCTCTGTGACCTGTGACCTTTGACCTACGTACTCCAAAATCTAATCAGATCGTCTTCCTATGGTGATAAATACTATTCCCGAGTCTTAAGTTTAAATCTTAAATGGTTCTTGAGATATTGTGATAACGGTCAAACGGGACGGACGTACGGACGGACAACCCGAAAACATGATGCCTCCGGCACCACCTTCGGTGGCGGAGGCATAAAAATGTTTTCAAGATTTTTGGGTCAGTCGCAAAGGGCAATACAACATCTTTTTTTTAAAGGCCTTATAGACCTAGATGTCACTTCACAAACTGATAATCCACTTCCCTCAACTTAATTACCACTTCTTAAAAATCTAGAATCTTTCAAGAGGGGGGAATTACAAATATCCTACCTCTTTTTAGGTGGAGGTGCAGGAGTTGTATCCATGGGAACGGCTTGTGGCTCAGCAGCAGGTTTGGCTTCCTTTGACGCATCACTTGACTTTGCTTCTATGATAGGAAATAAAGATATAAAGTATGATTATTTTTTAATTCGTTTATTTAAGTTTTATTTCCACATTAACTGCATATGAAAGGAATTTACAAAGTAACGCATATACAAGGTAACAAAACATGTACATATATTCCATGGATAGGTGGTATTACAACAGTGAAAACAATTTTATGCAAGTCATTAAATACAAATGATGCTAACAATAATCTACAGTAATGAGGAGGAAACCTTAAAAGCATTATGCTTCTGATTAAGGTTCCCTTTGAAGAAGAACACAGGCTTGATGATTAAAGCAATCGCAAAATTCACAGTATCTCACTAAAATAACATAACACAATTCTGGCAGTGTTTACCCTATGCAAAATGAAATTAAACTCAAATTTCATTCTTCCAAATACTCAACTACTTATTTAATTAATGTATAAATTACAACAAGCCTCACTTTACATCATCTCCCTCTAGCATATTGCTTTATTAATTTGTTAATATTTACAGTTTTTGTGCCTTTACAAATATGTTGACTGTTTATCAAGAATCATTTTTTGGATATAATTTGTAAGGAAACAAATTAAATTTCCATTGATGGGGAATATAAAGACATTAAATTGAAAATATTACGAAAACGTTAATAAAATATTCATTCATGTGTTGATTGAAATCAGAATGTTATCTTAAAACTCCATGACTATGAGATGGCTTAGAAAAAAACTGACAAAGCATGTATATTTGATGTGTGCATCAGAGCGTATATTTGAATAACCACATTGAAGGTCTTTCAAGGTATTTTCATCACTTGCAAGAGAGATTTGTGGGAAAATATTGTAATCAACCACGGAGCTGGGAGAAGATACCTTGATAGATGGATAGATTTGCTGACTACAGCATGGAAGAGGCTAAAGAGAAGGTCAAGTTCACGGAAAGGTGACAAATAATTTGTGAGCTTTACTTCTTTTAATGTTAGCATGGAGTAGTATCAAATTGGTTACTTTGACTAAATCATTAATGACCCAAACGGTATCAATTTCCCCACCTTTTTCCGCCTCTTTGCCTTGATGCCTCAGTTACACCTTTGCGTATTTGGCCTGCGTATGGCTGCCTATTTATGGCGAGCCGTTTTAACATTTATTCCTATTTCTTGATATCAAGAATTGAATCCTTTATATCAAGAATTACCATTTACAACAGAAAGTTATTTCTTGCTATCAAGAAAAAGGAATAAATGTTAAAACGGCTTGCCATACATACGCAGCAATACGCAAAGGTGTGAGAGGCATTTAGTAAATCATTAATGACCCAGTGCTACCAGTTTCCTCACCTTTATCCGCCTCTTTGCCTGGGCTGTCATCAATCTTGGATCTCTTGGCTTTGTGCGATCTATGATCACGTCTACCGCCCTCGCCCGGAAGCCTCGTCTCGCCCTCATCCTCGCTATCCGAGAACTCATCATCACGTTGGATGCGCTTGTCCTGAGCCATGATGGAGATGCGTTTGTCAGGGTTCTCCGCCTCGTCTTCGGCGTCGCTATCATCCGGGATGGCATCCTCTGGGATGGGTTGCATCTGGACGCCCGGGGCGTGGGGGATCATCCGCATGTTCTCATACAGACGAGTCCTAGACACAATTTTATTTATTTATTTATTCGTTTTTATTTTAACAGGGTAACTCTCACTATTAAGACTGTTTTTGTGAGAGGCCCGGTACACAAAAAAGGATTTACAAATAAATGACATAATAGCTATTTCTTATATATATCTGACATTGGCATCACCCGAGGACTCTCAGAGAGACTAGAGACTATTGCTTGATGTTTTGTGTAGTATCTTACAACTCAAAGACTATGAGATGGCTTAGAAAAAGCTTGACAAATCATGTGTATTTGATGTGTGTATCAGAGCGTATATTTGAATAACCACATTGAAGGTCTTCCAAGATATTTTCATCACTTGCACATCTGGATATGCATCATAAAAAACATTTGATTAAGTGCTTGTTATGAACACTTATGTATGATGTTATCCGTGATTTTATCTGAATAAAGATCATAGGGGGGGGGGGGGGGGGGGGGGGGGGGGGCTTCTAAGGCCCCCCCCTATGATCTCGGCCGTGAAACGCCCGATCGCTGCGAAAATTTGCATACATGTAAAGTGAAGTGTATAGAATACTATGGTAATTTCAATTTTTTGAAAAATTCACTCATTTGCATATTTATGGTAATTTATGCAAATAAGGTCATAAAATTCACATTTTTGCCCATAAATCAGACATTATTCATATTTAAGCATTCTTTCTCACTACATATATTTGTTAGACCATTTGGAATAATAATACAACACAACAAATTGAAAAACCAGGGTTATTTCTTATGTTATCTATTGTTTTGATAATTTCTTATGTATTTCTTTGTTTTTTTAACGTATGTATTTTATTGTTTTTGTTGTTTTATTTCATTTCCAACTATAATTCAACTATTTTGACCCCATAATAAACACCTAAACTATAAACAAGACCAAATAACCAATGTTTTATCTCTTTATTTGAAAAATGAGATTTCCATATGTTTTGTACACAAATCACAAAAATGAGCGATTTTCGGGCTGACATGCAAAGACAAAAGGACACCTGACTTTGTAATGGTTGGTCCGATTTTCGAAAAATTTCTTTCAAAAGATGCGATAGAGGGCGCAAGTAGCTATAAGTAGTGCAGTAGGACTTTAAAGCATTACAGTGTTTGGGTTCTAACTTTCTGAGTTTCATGTAAGCTAAGGAACCCAGACCATCTCATTCTGTATAACTCTCTGAGAGACTAGGGGGAATTTCTTGATGGGACTACTGGTATGCTGTGTCCAGACTTGTATACCCATAAATGGTATTTACTTTCTGCACATGGAAACTGATGACCATCTCCCTGTAAATGCAATTAAAATCAAAGAAACAAAAAATCAAGATACAACAACAAATCCCCACATCCATCTATGAGAGCCCCTTTTCCTTCAATCAATCTAACTGCACTCACTTGATTTTGTCGAGGTATTCTCCTGTGTTCTGATTGGTCATGTTAGATGGACTAATGTGAAGCTTGAAGTCAGGTCCAAAGTATTCAAAGTAATCATTGTATGGCAACTCTGAAAAGAGGGATACACAGAAGTATAAATGCAATGCTTGAAACGAACAGGGCTAAGTTAAATACAGGCGCCCCTCCCCCAAAGTAATCAGTGTATGATAACTCTCAAAAGAGGGATACACAAAAGTATAAATGCAATGCTTGAAACAAACAGGGGTAAGTTAAATACAGCACCCCCCCCCCCCCACCAAGTAATCATTGTATAGTAACTCTGAAAAGAGGGATACACAAAGTATAAATGCATTGCTTGAAACGAACAGGGCTAAGTTAAATACAGGCGCCACTCCCCCAAAGTAATCAGTGTATGGTAACTCTAAAAAGAGGGATACACAAAAGTATAAATGCAATGCTTGGACAAACAGGGGTAAGTTAAATACAGACCCCCCCCCCCCCCCCCCCCCCCCCCACAACAAAATAAAAAATATATACCAAATTTGCACTCTGGACCCCTACATCAAATGTGAGCTAGGTTGTTTATGGGATACTACAAACATACTACATACAAATATTTGAATTCTGCATTACAAAGAAAACAGGGTAAATCATGGAGTCCTGATAAGAGTCCAATTAAGATTTTTTTTTTTTATCTGATGACTCCAAAATTCGGATACAAGAAAATTCACTAACACTAACGGGATGTTTTGAAGTATCTTGAATTTTTTGGTTAGGAAGAATATTCTACCACCTGACAAAGCATGTATATATGAGGTGTGCATCAGAGCGTATATTAAAAACCACATTGAAGGTCTTTCAAGATATTTTCATCACGTGCAAGATCAAACGAAAATGAAATAACTGGGTTAAAAGTGTTTCCTTCAAGTATCTAACTCACCATTAGCGATCTCTACTCCCAAGGCTGTGGATGTCTCGTAGGTCCAGCATCTTGCCACATTCCGTATCGTGTAACCACCTCCACCCATTAGCAGTAGGGGCAGGTTATACTGCTTCATGAACTCCACACATTTAGCATGACCTGCATGAAGAAAATATAAATAAATATGTTCAAAATTTGTACATATATTATATCTCATAAATTCAACTCACAGGTTAAACGTTGATCTTCTGCATCAAAAATTAATTAACACTGAAACTATTATGATTTGAAATACCAAAAACCATTTCTGCCGCTTCATTATCTTTTGCATGTATTTTTTCCTTATTTCATCCTAATTTTTTATAAACGTAATGTATTTATTTCTTGTAATTATGTATTTTCTTGAATATTACTGTAATGCCAGTTGAAACCAAATTTCTATGCAACTTGTTTGCAAAGACCAAATAAAATATCTTGTATCTTGTATAAGATGTTTTTAAATATCTTCCTTTTTAATACAATTCAATTTATTTAAAAAATATTATCTTAAAACTCCATGAGTATGATATGGCTTAGAATAAACTGACAAAGCATGTATATTTGATGTGTGCATCAGAGCGTATATTGGAATAACCACATTGAAGGTCTTTCAAGATATTTTCATCACTTGCAAGAGAGATGGGTGGGAAAGTGTTGCAAGCAACCACAGAGGCTGGGATACCTTGATAGATGGATAGATTTGCTGACTACAGCAAAGAAGAGGCTAAAGAGAAGGTAGAGTTCAAGTTTACGTCTTTTCATGATAGCGTGGAAGAGTATCAGGATGGCTATTTCAAATGCCCTCATATTTGAAATATGACAAGCAACAGCTAAAGGTCCTGGACCCCAATCCAATACCACATTTGTTTTCAAACTTATGATTTTGTAATGATTATTTCCATGTGTATTACCTGCCATGAACAATGTCCCTGTCATGTTTTGTCATGTATGTTTCTTTTTTAGTTTAGTTTGTATATGTAAATCTTTTTCATTTTCTTATATATTGCAAATGCTTATCATTGTATATACCTTTGTATTGTTTTTATTGAAAATGGAAATGAATAAAACGAATTGAATTGAATCACACATATTTGTATAGTACCACATACACATTTCTGTGTGTACTGGATGTGACTAACAGCTAGACTGGGCCAATTACTTATCATTTTGATGATTCCAAAACCTCAGTGTACAACAATACTTATTTGCTCCATGATCAACCTTTGCCCATCGCTTCCGCACAGTTTCTTTCACAATGCAATCCGCATGACCAAACCTCAACTTTAACTCATCTGTCCCTCGGATAGGACGTTAAATGGAGGCCCCGTGTAGAGAAGAGTCACTACCTTTGCACGTTAAGAACCCACTGCACTATTCGTATAAGAGTAGGGGAAACCCCGGTGTAGTGGTCCACCTGCACACACCCCAGTATAGTAAGACAATACTCTGTAAAGAGGGATGTACTCAAATGGAAGAAGATGATTGAGCGTTATACCTTTGAGTGTAAGATTGAAGCATCCAAGCCTGTCTCCTGATAATGAATCCGCTCCACACTGAAGACAGATAGCACTGGGTTGATACATCTCCATTACTTTACACATGATCTATAGACAAATCAAAAACACGAATAATGTAGAGGTATTGGGGAGTACATGAAGTGGTTACTTCACAAGGTACAGGGTTCAATTCCCTACGAAGACGCTAACATCATTTGGCAAGACGTTAATCTACATTTGCCACACTCGACCGAGATCCAGTAAGTGGGTACCTGGTAGGATTTATTCCTTGAATGCACTGAGCAGTACAGTTGCCGGAGGTAAAATACCAGTGTAATAATATTCGCTCTTTCGAAGTGCACAAAGACATTATATCTTGTGATAAGCGTGATACAAAACAAGACATCTCATAAGATGTTATCAAACATTATCATTGTTTAATACAACTAAATTATTTTTTTTTAAATTATCTGGAAACCCATCACTATGAGATGGCTTAGAAAAAAACCTGACAAAGCATGTACATTTGATGTGTGCATCAGAGCGTATATTTGAATAACCACATTGAAGGTCTTTCAAGATATTTTCATCACTTGCAAGAGAGATGTGTGAGCAAATGTTGCAATCAACCACGGAGCTGGGAGAAGATACCTTGATAGATTTGCTGACTACAGCATGGAAGAGGCTAAAGAGAAGGTTGTGTTCACGGAAAGGTTACAAATAATTTGTGAGCTTTTACTTCCCTACCAAGATACTAACATCATTTCACAAGACATTAATCTGCATTTGCATTTGCAGATTACAAAAACTCCTTTCCTTAATTCTACTGAGGATACAGCCCCCCCCCCCCCCAATCATTGCATTTACCAGGTAATCAGATTAAACTTTGAATAAAAGCATAATATAATGAATCTTCTTATAGTTTCCCTTTAACAAAAAATTCAATTATTCTGACAATCAGAAGAGCATCAACCCTTACCCACGTGTAAATGGGTACCTGATATGCCTGAGCTCTAGTTTCTTTGGCAGCTCGGCAATAACCAGGGTAATATGTGTTAAGCGCCATGAGCGTCAGAGCCTGGCGAATACCGGTGCTATATAAATATCCATATTATTATCATTATTATTAAGAAACATGTGTAGATGGCAGACTTACAGGTTTGAAGATCTTGTCATAGGATTCATCATCAATGCCGTCTCTCAGAGGAAAGTTGACTGCGTAGTACTTCCCTTTGCCTGCACCAATATCCTGCAAGGTCAAAGAAAGAAGAAGGAAATAATATTGAAATTGTGTGAAATAAAAGAGAAATGTGCCTCTGGTATTTTTATTCAATCAGAGTCAATGCACTTTAAAGCCTGTCTGTACTAGTTTGGCCAGGAGGGATTAGACCACCCGGGGTGGTCACTGGACAGGTGGTTATCTCATCAACTCAGCTCTCAATTAATGTAAGAAAAATGGATCATGGGAGACCAATAATAATAATAATAATAATTTAAGATTTGTATAGCGCACATATCTGCCTATAATGGCACTCAAGGCGCACAAAAAAGATTCGCTATTAATATTTCAAATACAAACAATAAACAAATTGAAATTAACAAACTAATAATAAATCAACAAATCAAAAAACAAATGCAAATTACAGATTCAGTAAGACATTGAAATGTTTATGAGAGTTAATCATATTTTTCCTTCATAAGGTAGGTCTTTAGATGCTTGTGGAATAGTTCAATTGTTTTACTTAGTTTACTTAGTTTAACCAAGAGGCACCGATTAGGCATTGTTTTCTATACAGAGGGCGCAAGTAGCTACAAGTAGTACAGTGGGATTTTAAACCAATAGCGTGGACTTACCCTGAGATCTCCTGTACCAGGGAAGTATTCACCATACTTGTGAAAGGATACAGTCATAACCCGGTCTGTAGTATAGAAGGCTTCTTCCACTCCGTCACCATGGTGTATATCAATGTCTATGTACAAAACTCTCTGATGGTATCTGCAAAGAGAAAAGGTGTGGTCAGATATCATTTCACTATTCACCAAAATGGTCTGATTTTCAGACCCTTTTACCGAATAGTCGTACGTTTTGTGCTGCACAATAATAACAATAGGCATTTCTATAGCGCCACCTATCTAGAAATTCTATTCCGAGGCGGATTTATGTTTACCCCAGCTTTAGCCTAGCTGCACTTACAGCGCTCTAGCATTTCAAGGAATTAATTCCTGCCAAGTTACAATGATTCAATCACTTAAATTTTTACATTTACAAGTAGCAGATTATTGATGTAGGAAAATGCTCATGTACCTGTTACATCTCATTTTATGTATGTTATTAACAAAGATGTCAGTCAGTCCCTCAATAGTGTCTGACAGTGAAGTCTAGCAAGTAAACAGGTTTCCTTGCATAATTTGAATATGAGGACACTGCTAACGTTTAAATTTCACAGATAAGACATACATGACATATTCATAATTCCTAAAAAGTTCTACAGAATTCGCTGTTGGCTGCCAAAGGGACATAGTATCTTTATACTTAACACCATTTACAAAATGCAACATTGAAGAATCACTGAAAAAAATATTGTAGTATCCAAAATCTCTTTATTGTACATGGATTTTCAATATGAAAAAGCAAACTCACTTGAGTAATTCCAGGATAGCCAGGACAATGTCATTCACATAGCAGAACCCTGAGGCCTCTGATTTCTTAGCATGATGAAGCCCTCCAGCCCAGTTGATTGCTATATCTGTCTGTTGCTTGTTGAGTTTAACCGCTCCAGCTACAGAGCCACCCGATGACAGCTGACAGAACTCATAGAGACCGTCAAACACCGGACAATCTTCACCTACGTTGACTGTTGGGAAAGTAAATCACTTTGTTATTATCTTGCTACCATCATCTTCAAGTCTTGGATTATGTCCTTCTGGAAGAACAGATATTTCTGAACATAAAAAAAAAACTAATATAATCATGACTACATTATACCAACTAAATACAGTCAACCCCGACATAGTGACTACCTCTCTATAAAGGTTACCTACATACACGTGTATAAAATTAAGTTGCAGACCCTGCCTATAGTGGCCAATTTGTCTGTTTGTCTTCGATGGCTCTTAGGGCAGGTCTGACTGAACATATTTATACCACTTAGCGACCTTGTGGCTGTGCATGATACAACTTAAAGTGTATCTTTACTAATTTATAGGAGGGATGAGACCACCATGCAAAATCACTGACAGGCGGTTATCTCATCAACTCAGCTCTCAATTAACATAAGAAAAAGAGGATCATCGGGGACCAACAGGAACTGATTGGGAAGTTTTCTATATAGAGGAAGCAAGTAGCTACAAGTAGTACAGTGTGGCTTAAAACAAAAGTAAATACATGTACATGTAGATGAACTTACATCTTTGCATCTGTTTGGTGTATTCTGACATGTTATCAGGTCTGATGGTCCTCAGGAACTTGACGTAGTCATCGCTGTGATATTTTGTCATCTCCTCCATCACAGCCTTATGAGGTCTCTGTGATTAACAAATTACACACAATGAAACTTCTAAATATAATGGCACATGATAAAGACGGTTACAGAAGGTTATTTCACACGTATAATGATGCACAATCAATCACTTTCATAGGTGGCATAAAAAATAAGCAAAACAAACAGAGAAATGTGCATGTTTATTTAAACAAACATGGGGGACCAGGGAACAAGTTCTCTTACAAAAGTGGCATTTTTAGCTCTGCCATAAAATTATAAATTCTTTAGGTATAGAGTACTACTAACAACAACAACTTATTCCGTCTGTACAATAAGGTACCTTAAAAGGGTAAATCGTAGAGTTGGCATGGCCTTAATTCCTTAAATCAGGCAAAAGCCTGATAAATGATATCCTAGTAGTGATACGATCCAATGAATGGGAGTGTACTTACATAGATTTCCATCTTTCTGTAGAGTCCATAGTTAAGGATGAGGTTGTGAGTCATGCGTATTCTATGTGGTTTCATGGGATGCCCTTGCCCATAGTAATAGTTCCCAACATCACCTGAGAAATTATAAAACATGAAATATAATTATCGTTTCATATCTTTTACTAATACTATCAATGATAGAAGAGTCTTGTATAGTGTCACATTCCCACTCCGGGCTCTGGCACGGCTACCATTACAGCACTCAAGCGTTTTATGGAATTAATTCCTGCCAGGTAACTATTTGCCTCACCTCGGTGGAGTGTAGATTAATGTCTTGCCAAAGAGCAGCAGTGCTACAACATGATTTTGAACCACGTACCTTGTGGTTTACAGTCAAGAACTTATCCACCGGACCACAACATCTCTTTTGCATGAAGTCAATAAAAAATGCAGTCATTTGGGTAGCTTTCAGAGTTTAAATAATGATAATAAAATTTATTCAGCTAAGCCTCATCAGGATCAGTGCAGTTGTTCTTGAGGGCCCAGCAATTATTACCCTAGTAATTGCCAGGTGCCCACCTACATGTACATCTGGGTGGAGACTGGAGTGGCAAATATGGATTAATCATATCTAGCCAAAGGATGCTTTACCTTGTGAAAATGTGTGAATATATATATTTTTTGGGGGAGGGGAGTTGGTTATAAAATTAACAGTCACACATCAGTTGAATTTCTGACGAGAAAGACCTCATATCTTTTCTTTGAAATATGTTAGTCGCTCACACAATAATTTGGTAAGATTTGCAAAACTGGAAGGAAAAACAAATGATGGTGCCATAATATACTTAGTGGCAGTGCCTTAAAGGGACTTTGTAACATTGTTCAAGTGAGAGAAAATGGTGCTAAGGTAATGACTTCAATGCTAGATGTACAAATAAAGAAACACTGAAAGTTTGAGTGAAAACAGACCATTATTAATGATAACAATTAGGAAAAACTGATCTGAACGATTCCTTAATTCTCCTAACTATATTATTACAATTTAATTACATTTTAGGAGAATGTTAATTGTCACAAAGCAATAAATTGGTTCTAAATCTACATGTATATCATTCCAGATATTTAAGTGTTGAAATATTTTTAAAATCCTGTCATATGTCTTATTTACCTGGAAAAACGGTTGGGAAAATTCAAAATAAAGATGGTTGGGAGACTTTACTATTAGAGGGTGTCACAAAGTGATGCCTTTAAAGAAAACCATAAATATCTTTGTGTTTTGAGAATATTTTCAGGATTTTTTGCATGTTTAAGGGTTACGGTTAGTACAGTAGATCTAGAAGGAATATAATAAATAAACATGTCTTTAAAAAATTATGCATTTTTTTTCATCAACCTTCAACAATGTTACTGAGTCACTTTAATATCATGAGATCACTAGCTAGCTCTAGTAGTTCTCTGTGAAACAGTTTAAAAATAGGAAGACCAATATATCTTTGCTTCGAAATATATTTCGATTCGTTCGCACAATAATAATTTGGTAAGATTTGCAAAACTGGAGGGGAAAAAAAGATGGTGCGAAAGTATACCTAGGTCTTAGTGGTAGACAGAAATAACCTGTCTGGTATGGGTAATTCTTCTTCTTCCTTCTTCCAGTATAGTACAGTCCGCCGTTGGCGTATTATCGTACCTTGTGTTTGTCAAGTGCCGAGTGTACAGTGCAAGTAAAAAGGCTCTACAAGAATTCTATGTGCAGCTAAAAAACAGTCTGAAGCTTAACGGAGCTTGATGTGTTGCACCTTCTGCTTGAAAAGTTCCAAAGAGGTGCAATCGACGACAGCAGATGGTAAGGAGTTCCACAGTCGGATAGTATCTGGGTAGAATGTGGTTTGGAATAGCAGAGTTCGGGCAAAGGGGACATGGAATTTCTGTGGATTTCCACGGGTGCTGGGACCAACAACGGGTATGAAGTAGGTGACTGGAAGATCAACCAGGCCATGGAGTATGCTGTAAACCATGCCTACTTTCTGCTGAGCCCTTCTTTCCTGCAGACTTACCCATTTAAGTTGATTCAGCATGGCTGAGACGCTGCTTCTGCGCCGATAGTCACCCAGGACGAAGCGTGCACAACGGCGTTGCACCATTTCCACCTTTCTGATGTTCTCCTGGGTGGACGGGTCCCACACTATTGCAGCATACTCCATCACAGGGCGTACTAATGTCTTGCACAGCAACTCCTTGGTCTTCTGTGGGCAGGCCCCCATGTTTCTTTGCAGAAAGCACCGTACAGAGTTGGCTTTTTTGGTGGTGACGTTTACATGGTGATTCCATTTCAGGTTGCTCTGGATGTGGACCCCCAAGTACTTTGCAGTTTCTGTTACATGTAGCTGCTCTCCATGGATGAAGTAAGGAAAGGAGGCTTTGGATGTCTGTCATATTAAAACTGCACGAAACCTAAGTTCCTTCGTTGAAATTCGACGCTGGGAATATTTAGTCAATGTTCGGTTGCTCGTAGCTCAGGTTCTGATCATCGCACGAAAATAATTGAAGAATGATACATAGTGGAATTTCCCCACGTGTCAATCGATACCATATTCATGATGTAAGCGCTAAAAATAGCAGCACTATAGCAATTTGAATAGAGCCCTGTCAATGCACTCGAATTTGATCGTGAATTAAGAGCTCAGTGCCAAATCGATGCACTGAGCTGTGGACGCGGAAAGTCCCGTACAGATACCTCCAGTTAATCCTCGATTTTGTACAATATTTTCATGTGGTGAAGATCAGAGACATCTCTGTAGTTGGCTGACAGAGTTATGATTGTCTCGATTGGAGAAACGGGACCAAGGCCCAGGCACCTCATCTTGATCGTTTCCTAATTCCGCCTACGAAACCCGCTACGCTACGCTACGCTACCGCGCTTATGAACTCTGCTTCAATTATGCTTGTGTACAATTTGTCAATGGCTAAGGCCACGGACGATCCTCTCAATTCAAAGCCGAAATATTAGGTAAATTTCAAGTTTCAACAAATTCTAAGAGGAAAAAAGCACACATCCAATAATTCTATGCATCATTCTCATCAATAATTTTGTAAAGTTTAGGTTAGAAATTCCAAACTAAGCTTACCATCATAATAATAGCAGACCCTTTTCTTTGTACCCGTAGACGCCATGCCGGTTGATTCTTCTACAGCCGACAAAACACTGCTTTAGTCCCACACACACAAGCAGCGGAGAACTCAGAACAATGAAGAACAACGTAGAATCAAGGGGACGCTGCTCCGCACTTCGCTTCTAAATACACATTGATAACATGCGTCGATGTGCAGTATCAATGGTTCAGCGAATTAAATAATCCATTCAGTTCTGTGACTGGCGCGCGACGATCCAAGTGGGGCGGTATGATTGTGTTCCCGCGGGACTGAATTTAATAGGCTCAATTCAATCCCAGCCCCCCCCCCCCGATGAATCGTAGCAAACAGTATAGATTCCTAAATCTCATTTGTAAGATGATGCTAATGTAAGGTTTTGGTACTCGAAGTAAGGGCATTTTTGTTTTGGGCTCCCGAATATTTGAAAATCGCGTCGGCCGCAAGTTCGCTCGGGGGGGGGGGGGGGGGGGGGTACAATTTTTTTTGTACCGGGGGAACGTCCCTGTTAGCCAGTACATTTTTGGCGAATTTAGGGCTGATTTCAACACTTTTTTGGCCGGGGGGGGGGCACGTGCCCCCTATGCCCCCCTGGATCCGCCGCTGCTATATAATGAGGTTTTGAATAGCAATTATAACCAATTGCTTCGATATCACGTGATCCTAACATTGGCAGAAAACATTTAGCCTGATTACTGTTCGTGATTCACGTCACGAATATGATATAGGCTTTTTTTTCTTTTAGAACGAGATACATCTTCCGTTAGACATTCATCCAATCGCATGGGGATATGACATTTTTCACTCTTTTATTTTTACAACCTGAATTGCCTTTCGCCATGTTTCTTTTTGTCCGAGAATACTTATTATTCCTTTTTTAAATCCTTTTCTACACGGTTACAATCATCACATTACTTGTGAGAATCCAATACTATAATTTCTATTCTATTATATACTCCATGTGAATTCAATATGAATTGAGTTGAAACAAAATTGAGTTTATTCTGAAGATACGGGTTATGGTGGGAAAGAAACATGAACTAAATGACACAAAACAAACCAAATGTCTTAAAATGTGTTTTTAATCTGTTTAAGATGTAACACCAGGTTCGTGCTTCAATATCATGCATACAGTCAACAAAGGAATATAAAGACAATAGTAATTGATTTACTGTTTCGCCTTTAATCTGCTTATCCGAAGGGTGGATAAAGCTAAGGCATGAGATATACTTTTACAGATAATCAAATAAACAAACATAATATACTTAAGGGCCCACTACGATTTATATTAATAAGACCGGTCGTTTATAAAGAAGAAGAAGATTGTCCGCTCATCAACGAATATGGTACGTTGCTATCAAACGCGTATTATTAGAGAACAATAATTAATTCAGGATAGCGTTCCCTATATGATCATTGCTGCATAGCGTTCATATAAGTCGATTTAAATATGGAGGCTGTTATCCAATGGACAGGGTTGATATGGGATGGAGTTGCGTGATCTCTTCAAGAAAGCCGAAGATTCGTTTCTCCGCAGTGAAGGGCTATAAAAGGGAGGTTAATAAAACAAAGCAAGTATACTGGGCATACATTAATATAACAAAACCACATAACAACTGAACTGGACAGAGATACCCTTTTATGACGTTGACGCCCTCAGTAGCAGGCTGACTACCGATTTGACCAGACCAACGCCAGAATTCACATATTAGTTTGGATAATAACAATATGTAAAAGAGACATAATAATGTAACAACAAAACATAAACTAATCTCTTTCCAATTCAGTGTTTCACAAGAGTGGCAAACAATGCATTAATTGTTCAAAGGCAATCGCATAATAAGGCGAAACATAGTTAATAAACATAGTCAAAGATATAAGAGAAAGCAATATATGAAGAGTATAAAATTCCTCTCAAGCAGAAGCATGTAGTATAGTACATGTACATGTACTAAAACAATCAGATCCTTTCTTTACACAGACTTTTCCTTCTGTGTCCTACTGACCAACTGGCATCTAGTCTAGGTCATTCAGACCCTGTATGCCTAGCTTCTCCAAATCAGGATAATTATATCTAATACTGTATTAACAAGGGCTGCTCTTAACAAACAATTATGTACGTATAATACAACTATACTCCACAGGAGATGTACTATTATGCCCATGCATTGACCGACATAACTCTCACTCAAGAGACTATAAACAAGGTAATAAACAGGTCTTCAGAGAATGTGCTAAGACTATGTAGTGAATCACAAGTTCCCTACATTGACAAATCATCTGACAGAGAATGGGAATTTAGATGATATAACCAAGTTTTAAGAAGTGAAATACATTTATCTAGCAATATACAAATACATACATATATATATATACATCACTCTAGATTAAGAATGAGAATGTGAGAATTAGTAGTGAGAATATCATTCTCTTACCTATAAAAGGGAGCCAGCACCAGTATACGTCTTCCCCTCACAATGTTCAGAAGCAAAAGAGAATGACCACATGTTTGCAATGTCCAGATAAGCGGACTAAAGATAACATTCCAAGGAGGGAGGTGGTCAGAGAAAAGAGAGTGGAGGATAGAGAAGCCTATAGGGTTATGTGCATAACAGGTGTATATCCCCACACAGTAGAGAGAGGGGAAAGGAATCGGAGAGAGATGAGAGAGAGAGAGGGGCAACTGTAGTTAAATGAATCAGTGATGGCCATACTATATAGTCACACTTTATGGGTGTTACACTCTCCCCCTCCAACCTTTCACCGTCCCGGTGAGATATAGACCAAAGAAAAACAAGAATTTAGTTCAACAAACTATTGTTGTAGTTTTTTCTTACTCTTCCTTTATATACAGTTATCAATGTCCTAATAACCTCTGCCTAACATAACTGAAAATCCCTTTACGTTTCGGCTTAGCATCAACGGATAGATTAAACGGTTCACCCGGGTTATAGTAATTCAGCCTCGTTGGTGCTATGGAAGGCCTAGTTGACTTTCTCAAGTCACTATGTACAGAGTGCGTTGGTGAAGGAGAGTCAAGGTTCTCACTGATGTCTTCATGGCTCGGATTACCCTCTGCGTGGTGGTCACGTGAGGCTGGGTCGGGGACAACAGAGTTCGTCTGTTCAGCTGTTTCGTTAGAAACTGGAGAGTCGGGTGTGTTTGGAGCTTCTCCAAAAGTAGAAGAATTTGCCTCTTCAGGTACTCGATCTGAAGAAAAGGATTCAATATATTCAGAAGCTTCAGTGGAGGGAGAAGCTTCTACCTCTTCTTGAGAAGGCTGGGAGTCCGGAGAGCTGATAATCTCAGGAGCTGTCTCTTCTACCTCTACAGCTGGCATGTTATCCACATCAATATCCCTCTCAACAGATGCTTCATCGATTTCCTGTGGACCATCAAGGTGCAGCTGTCTAAAATTCTCTATATGGGGAACAGTAGTGTTCTCAATCTCATCGTTCTGTACCTGATTACTAGGCGTGAATTCCTGTGCTTCAGGCCTGAGGTTATTCGCTAACTGCTCTGTACTGCCAGTCAATACATCGTGGATAGTGTCTACTTCAGCTACAGGTTGTGGATCCAAAGGTGTCTGGTCCTGACGAGAGGGTTCTGGCAGATAATGGAGAACAGAAAAACCATCACTATCGGAATCACTGGTCACATAGCTAGAGGTTTGTGAACCTTTCCGAATGGGCCGGCCTTTCTTTCTCAAGCGCTTAGGGACTGATCGGGGTGGTAGAGGATCAATATGTTGTTCTTCCACCTGTGGATCAGGTCGTCCTATGGGGAGGAGTAGATTACGGTGCAGCGTCGAGACTCTACCACCAGATTCTGATTTGACGTTATACACTGGAAGAGAGATGTCGTTTTGGCCTACCACCATATATGGTTCAGCCTTCCACCGATCCGCAAGTTTGTGGGTGCCTTTCAATCCGAAATTCTTCACGAGCACCCGGTCACCAGTGTAGAGTTCTCTGCCCCGCACTTTCAAGTCATACCGCTGCTTATTTGTGGTTGCTGCCTTCTGTGACGCTGTCTTGGCGGCTTGGAAAGCCTGCTTAAGTCCTGCCCTCAACTTTGATACATATTTGACATGATCTATGGCGTGACAGCCATCTGGGCGAGTATCAAACTCCACATCTATCGCCAACCGAGCCTCCCTTCCAAACATCAGGTAGTATGGGCTGTAACCAGTGCTGTCCGTCTTGGTGGAGTTATATGCATGGACCAATGATGCCACATGTTGGCTCCAGTTTACCTTTTCTTCATGCTTGAGTGTGCCAAGCATATTCAGTAATGTCCGGTTAAAGCGTTCTGGCTGGGGGTCTCCTTGGGGGTGATACGGAGTAGTGCGGGATTTCTTGATGTTGAGAAGCTTGGTCAGCTCTTTAATCACTTTTCCCTCGAACTCTCGTCCTTGATCAGAATGGAGTCTTTGCGGCAGGCCATAGTGGACGAAATACTTTTCCCATAGCACTCGAGCGACTGTTCGCGCTGTCTGATCCTTGGTTGGGAATGCCTGGGCGTACCTCGTAAAATGGTCGGTGACCACTAGAATAGATTTGAAACCCCTGGCGTCTATCTCCAGTCCAAGAAAATCCATACACACCAGCTCCATAGGTTGGGTGGTTTGTATGCTGTGAAGTGGGGCGCTCCGTGTGGGGAGGGTCTTGCGGGCTTGACATCTCCTGCAGTTCCCAACCCATCGTTCAATATCTTGTGCCATCTTAGGCCAAAAAAATCTGGCACGAACGAGGGAGGATGTTTTGTCACTTCCAAGGTGTCCATGTTGGTCATGCAGGCTCCGTAGTGCATCTTGTCGATGAGACGTTGGTAAGACGAGTTGAAATATCGTCCTCCCGTCCCGGGCTTTCGACACTCTGTGCAGCACGCCCCGAATGAGTTTGAGCTTTGGGAACTCTCGAACAAGAATTCTCTCATCGGATGATTTGGGGGTGCGTCTATTCGGCTTTCTACCACTCTGAACCCAATATTTTGCTGCTTTGATTGCTGGGTCAGCGTCTTGTGCACCGGTCCAGTTAACCTGGTTTGCCATACTGCTAACCTTTGGGAATTCATATTCATCTGGCACTGCTTCTGCGCTCATGGACAGGCAAGATACCAAGGCTTCAGGACTTGAATGGGAAACTCTTGATTTCGTGGCTGCAGACACTGACATCAAGACTGAGTTGGTAGCTTCGAGATCAATGATTTGGTCTGGTTCACCTAGATCCTCTTTGAGTCGTGCTGTCAGATATCTCAGGTCTGGATATTCTTTAGGTTGTCTGGGTTCAGGTAGTCGAGATAAGGCATCAGCATTGGCGTTTGCTCGGCCTGGGCGGTAGTGGATGCTGATATCAAAATTTGCTAGTTGTGATACCCAGCGGTGTCCAGTGGCGTCAAGTTTGGCTGACGTAAGGACGTAGGTCAGCGGATTGTTGTCTGTAAACACCTTGGTTCCCTTGGCCATGTACAAGTAATCGTTGAATTGTTCAGTTACCGCCCACTTCAGTGCGAGGAATTCTAACTTGTGGGCCGGGTAGTTCCGCTCAGATTTGGAGAGACCTCGACTAGCATATGCTACAGGACGCAGTTGACCATCACAGTCTTGGCAAAGGACTGCCCCAAGTCCGTCTCCACTTGCATCCAACTGCAGGACGAATGGCTTCTGCAAGTCTGCAAATGCCAGCACTGGGGCGCTTGATAAGGAATCTTTCAACTGATTGAAGGCACTGGTACACTCTGTTGTCCACTTATCTCCTAATGGCTCTGATGGTCTGAATTTCCCTTTCGTCGGCTGGCCCTTCTTTGCAACTCCTGCAGTCAAGGAATGCAGTGGTCGAGCAATCTTGGAATAGCCCTTGACAAATCTCCGGTAATAGCCTGTAAAGCCGAGGAAAGATCGCAGTTCCTTCACAGTAGTTGGAGTTGGCCAATCTTTGAGTGCCGCTGTTTTGCTTGTGTCTGTCTTGACACCCTCATCAGAGACGACATGTCCCAAGTACTTGACTGAGTTACAGCAAAGCTGACACTTCTCTGGAGATACTTTGAGTCCATATGAAATGAGACGGTCTAGGACTTTCATGAGGCGTGTAGTCATCTCCTCTAGTGTCTTTCCGAATACGATGATATCATCCATGTATACCAGGGCTTCCTTGAGGTGTATTCCAGTCATGCACTGCTCCATGAGTCTCTGGAATGTGGCTGGTGCTCCCTTGACTCCTTGTGGCATCCGTTCAAATTGATAGAAGCCTACCGGGCAGATGAAGGCAGTTTTCTCCTTGTCTTGGTCAGCCATAGGAATCTGGTAGTACCCTGACTTCAAATCAAGCACGGAAAACCACTTATTACCACTCAAGGCATCTATTGCTTCTTGGATGAGTGGTACAACGTATTGGTCGGGTACGGTTCTCGCATTCAGTTTCCGGTAGTCTATGCAGAGGCGCAACTTCCCCGTCTTTTTCCTGACAAGGACAATTGGGGATGCGTAACGACTACGAGACTCTTTTATGATGCCAGCTTCTAAGAGTTCTTGAAGATGCTCCCTCAGGTCTTCAAGGTCGGCAGGGGACACTCTTCTGGATCTCTCCCTAAATGGCGTCTCATCGGTCATTCGTATCTCATGGTAGATCTTGTCTGTCTTACCCATGTTTAGGGGATCATGACAGAACACTGCAGACTTGTCTTGTAATATGTTCAGGAGCTGCTGCTTATCCTCTGGAGATATGGGACCCCATGTCAAAGGCAAGCTTGCCACATCAACATCATTTTTGGCGATTTTATTGTATATGGCTGAACAGATGGGATTTATCGAGTCAGTTGGTTTCCTCTTGTATGTATGGTAGCATTGGCGGAACACTCCAGAGTTGGTTCCCACAACAACAGGATGGTCTTTGGTGTTCCGATTATCTGGGATGACTAGAGCTAGTGTAGAGAATGGCTTGTCGGTGCCGGTGAATTCTAACTCAAAACTGATATCTATTTGAGTATACCCAATATACGGTATTTGGCCTCCACCACCGTGCCACAAGACCAGGTCCTTGAGAGGGTGAATGTACTTCTCCAACTTCTTACACAGGCTTTCTGGTATGAGGGTGACTTGCGATCCACTGTCTAGCAAGCATTGTAAAGGGTGGTTGTCCACAAAACAGGGGTAGGAAGCACTTTCCCCAACCAGACCACTCGGAATGTCATTTCCTGTATCCTCCCTTGCAGGCTCATGTTGGCTGCTCATTGACGTGGCGGGTATGTCTTGTTTGGAGCTTGAGTGGACTCGGGCCCCAGACGGCTCCGTCTCTGGTACCCAAAGGCGTTTCCCTGACTGAGACAACCGATCAGCTTCCGGTTGACTGCAGCCAGGTTAGGGGGGTTTGGACACTTCCTGCGAAAATGCCCGTCTTCCCCACACTTGTAGCAGAAGTTAGGATGTTTGTTTGTGTCTGGGGTTTGGAAGGCATTCACAACTACCGGGTCCTGAGATGTCGCCCCCCTGTCCCTCATCTGTTGCTCCAGCCTTGCAAGCCGCACCTCCATGGCATTTGATGGTTCTGTAGGGCTTTCCACTACCGCTTGGAGACTTCTCCCTTTGACGGGTCTCCTCTGTCTCTTCTCTGCGACCTCCACTTCATATCGCCTCACCTGGCTTAGAAGGGTGATGAAGGAGGGTGGGTCATGTAAGAGATCCCTAAGCCTTAAACTCACTAGGAGCATCTCATCATAGAGACTCCGGATGAACTTCTGCAGCCGGAGGTAGTCTGCCCTGTCCGGAGGCGCTCCTCCCTTTCGTACTGCCCGTCTCAGGGTAAAGTTCAACCGCATGATGAACTCTGAGGGTTTCTCCTGATCATGCTGCGCCATGTCGTGAAACTTAAGGAGTATCTCCTCCCCGCTCTCGGTGGTGCCGAATGCAGCTTCAAGGGCTGATATATAGTCCTCTGCGGATGCCTGCAGCTTGCTTAGCTTCAGATCCCTCACAATGGTTGATGCAGGGGGTCTGAGGGCTTCGCTAATTCGCCGCCGCTTTTCTACCTCTTCAAGGCCGGCTGCTGTCCACTCCTGCAGCTGCCCTTCTGCCTGATCAACCCACAGGTCGAAACCATCTTCGTCACGCGATGGCGAGAGAGATCCTGAGAAAGGCCTCAGCTTTCTGTAATTTGAGTGGAGGCTCATGTTGAAAAAGTCTTTCATCAGGCGATGATCTTGCCCTTCCCGAGGCATTGTTCCTGGCTGGTGGGAGAACTCTGGGACTCGCGATCGAGTTGCACTCCTCTTTTCTCTAGCTTCTACTAGTGTTACTCTTCGCCTTGTCTGTTTTGTTTGATGAGCTAGCAACACTAGATGAAAGGGCGTGAGGGTTCCTCTTATGGGCACATGTATGTCTTGGTCGCGTAGGGTGACCAGTGAAACCTTCTGGTCCAGCTCCAGAAGTAGGGCGATAGAGGGTGACTTGCAGTGAGGCTGTCGTTCTAGCACCGCTGCACTCTGCACACAGTTCACTACTTCAGAAATAGCACATAATAACTCATCAACATCAACAGTAGTATCATCCACCTCATCCCCAATGAGGAGGACTGCCATATCTAAGGCAATATCCTCTTTCTTGCATAGGGCCCTAGCTGGCTCTAACAAGTTTGCTTTATATTCGGCCATTATATACTACAAAATAACCTTCACTGGTACTGGCTCCCGAAAACAAGTGAAATAAAAAATTGCATGTAAAATTGAACGAAAAAAATAATTTAGCTTATAAACATTGAGTAACTGTATTATTCAAAGCATAAGTCCTGGCAAGGTCGCCATTTGTAACACCAGGTTCGTGCTTCAATATCATGCATACAGTCAACAAAGGAATATAAAGACAATAGTAATTGATTTACTGTTTCGCCTTTAATCTGCTTATCCGAAGGGTGGATAAAGCTAAGGCATGAGATATACTTTTACAGATAATCAAATAAACAAACATAATATACTTAAGGGCCCACTACGATTTATATTAATAAGACCGGTCGTTTATAAAGAAGAAGAAGATTGTCCGCTCATCAACGAATATGGTACGTTGCTATCAAACGCGTATTATTAGAGAACAATAATTAATTCAGGATAGCGTTCCCTATATGATCATTGCTGCATAGCGTTCATATAAGTCGATTTAAATATGGAGGCTGTTATCCAATGGACAGGGTTGATATGGGATGGAGTTGCGTGATCTCTTCAAGAAAGCCGAAGATTCGTTTCTCCGCAGTGAAGGGCTATAAAAGGGAGGTTAATAAAACAAAGCAAGTATACTGGGCATACATTAATATAACAAAACCACATAACAACTGAACTGGACAGAGATACCCTTTTATGACGTTGACGCCCTCAGTAGCAGGCTGACTACCGATTTGACCAGACCAACGCCAGAATTCACATATTAGTTTGGATAATAACAATATGTAAAAGAGACATAATAATGTAACAACAAAACATAAACTAATCTCTTTCCAATTCAGTGTTTCACAAGAGTGGCAAACAATGCATTAATTGTTCAAAGGCAATCGCATAATAAGGCGAAACATAGTTAATAAACATAGTCAAAGATATAAGAGAAAGCAATATATGAAGAGTATAAAATTCCTCTCAAGCAGAAGCATGTAGTATAGTACATGTACATGTACTAAAACAATCAGATCCTTTCTTTACACAGACTTTTCCTTCTGTGTCCTACTGACCAACTGGCATCTAGTCTAGGTCATTCAGACCCTGTATGCCTAGCTTCTCCAAATCAGGATAATTATATCTAATACTGTATTAACAAGGGCTGCTCTTAACAAACAATTATGTACGTATAATACAACTATACTCCACAGGAGATGTACTATTATGCCCATGCATTGACCGACATAACTCTCACTCAAGAGACTATAAACAAGGTAATAAACAGGTCTTCAGAGAATGTGCTAAGACTATGTAGTGAATCACAAGTTCCCTACATTGACAAATCATCTGACAGAGAATGGGAATTTAGATGATATAACCAAGTTTTAAGAAGTGAAATACATTTATCTAGCAATATACAAATACATACATATATATATATACATCACTCTAGATTAAGAATGAGAATGTGAGAATTAGTAGTGAGAATATCATTCTCTTACCTATAAAAGGGAGCCAGCACCAGTATACGTCTTCCCCTCACAATGTTCAGAAGCAAAAGAGAATGACCACATGTTTGCAATGTCCAGATAAGCGGACTAAAGATAACATTCCAAGGAGGGAGGTGGTCAGAGAAAAGAGAGTGGAGGATAGAGAAGCCTATAGGGTTATGTGCATAACAGGTGTATATCCCCACACAGTAGAGAGAGGGGAAAGGAATCGGAGAGAGATGAGAGAGAGAGAGGGGCAACTGTAGTTAAATGAATCAGTGATGGCCATACTATATAGTCACACTTTATGGGTGTTACAAAGATATAATAACATTTCTATGGCTGGCCAATAATGTATCTTTCTCGGAAAAGGTATTCATACAACATGCATAACGTGGCTGGCATAGAGAGGAAAATGGGCAGTGAAAATGATACTAATAATTTGTTTAACTTGTCGAGAGGACCCTGACAATCACAATTAAGTATTATAAATTAGTTCCACAAACTCGACATGCTCGAGGTCCATAATGACGCTACATGACATTTATCAACATATTAACTGGTTGAATTTTTTATTTGTCTTTGGGTTTTGTATTTCGGATCTGTCATTTTGGTTTAAGTTGACGACCTTTCAATAAAAATAGATATAACCGTATCTTGCAGTAGCTCTTTTGTTCACATTTCCATTTTTTCTGCATTTCCCCCCTAAACCTGATATTGCACTATGCCCAGACGTCCTACTTCTCTCTTATATTACACTTTGTATATTTTCCTATATAGTGCTTCCCCGTGCTTATATCAAAACGTATGCGAATAATTGAATACATTTCATACATAATAACAATGACATAGATCAACAACAAGGTCAGTGTTGATTTGGGAATCATATTTATAACAAGCTATTGATTTATTGATATACATTCTAAATTGTATAACATTATCACACCAGGTAGCAAAGTCACAGTGACGTGCACCACAGTCAACAAGTATGACAAGAAAACACAAAAATGAAAAATTGGCAATCTATTATAATAGTAGCTTTAGCGGTGGCACATGTTGGAATAAAGTATTGTTTTAGAGGAAAAGGCCCATTTGTTTAGGAGGGGGTAGTCGCATTCTTGTTTTATTTATACATTTTTGAAGACATTGCAAAGCTAAAGATGAAGTGCATAATGTTTTTTTTTATATTTCTGATTCTTTGGTGATAAATTTCATTGACGTAAACTGAATATGAAAATAATACTGTAACTAGTGATGGATATTGTTTTTCTCCATATTTGATAAAATTATTTAAAAAAGACATCCATCTTTCGACATCAGTTATTTATGTTTTATGCGGATAAGCTCGAGTAGTCCATATTTTACAATGTAAAATCCGATTCACTCTTGCTTTAGATAAGTACATGCACAATTGTCATTGTACGATTTGAGAGAGTCCTTTTTATGCCACATGACATGATGCAACATAATTATTTAAACATAAATAATTTAGCGTATTGATAAATGCAGCTATGTATGATATTAAACAAATCAGTTCTCCTCCCCCTTAATGTAACCCTCATCCTCCCTGTTATCCTTTTGGGAGGATATTTCTGAACTTTTATTTCCCGAACGGTGTAAACGCGTTGAATAGTACACTTTGGGGGCTGTAGAGTCCGTTGAAAGCACCAATTCATCTCGATGAACAGGTCCGGATATGTGTGCAGAGAAAGGTTTGGTGTCAGATCTTCTTGAAGACCCACTTCCACCCCGGTGAACTGAGATAGGTATACGGGAAGAATAATAAATTTTACTCGAAGGGGTCGGTGAAGTCTCAGTTTTCCACTTGGATTGCGATATCGGTAAACGCGAAGAGTAATTCACATTTGATCCAGGAATTGGCAAGCCTTGTATATCAGGTTCCGCAGTGAGGTACCCATCGTCACCTACTCTGCTCGCTATAAATGGATCAATGGGTTTACGTTGGATCATCTCAGGGTAGTTGTACTCGTGGTACTCTTCAGATGATCTGCTCCTTAAAGGAACATCCTGGCCCAAGACCAGGTACTCGTGGGCTAGTACGGTACCTGTTGTAGGTACAGAACTTTCGCCAAGGTCAGGCTCTTCGTAGATGCCATATTTTACGTCTGTACCTGATGACGCCGTTGCTGTTGCATCTGCTTGAGGAATATCTGAAAGCTTTGGTATTCCCTTTAGTGGCTGGTATTGCGTTACTGTTGCCACTGGAACATCTCTGTCTTGAACACGTTTATCGTGAACGCTCATCCGGTGACGCTGCGTGTTAATTCTTTTTCTGTATTTTGTAGTTATAACTGTTACCAATACGCCTGCAACAACTAATATTATGACAATGGCTACTACAATTGAGATTGGGCCGGTAAAAGGAACCAACAGATCTGTAGAGATAAAAGAAGAAGAGATGATAAGTATTATAGCTCAAACTTTTAAAGACCACACAAAGGTTTTTTTTAAGGATTTAAATTTAATTTTAAAGATATTATCAGAGTAGCACTATTAATTTAAAAGTGAATTAATCATATTCTATAAACATTGTAATGTGGTATTCTTGGCGATGTTTGTTTTATTGTCTTGCGTAATTAATGTGCCCTTTCTGACAAGGCCTGTAACCTGAAAACAAAACGATATCACACAATGTATAACTTTGTATCCCTTTATTCATGAATCGAATAGCATCTCAAAAACGTCAAGTGTCAGATAATAGTCATATAATAAAACTAACCTAATGTGAAAAAAATTGTGAAAACAGGCGTGGAAAAGAATAAATATTTATACTCATTCTCACTTACCATCGGGCGTTGTACTATCTTTCTCTCTTTCTGTGTCACATGATGTGTTGCTCGGTGTTACAGAAGGGTGAACTGGATCGCAAAAAGAAAACAGAAAACATGTTATATCATGGTAATCACAATTTCTTGCTTGAATATAACCTATCAAATTAAAACAAAATACCTTCAGCAAATACATGCATGTTAACAGTGTCACATGACTGAAATCATATTGGTGTTTGTTGACAGATCAATGTCGCTCAAAACCCACAAATTAATTTCCTTTAAGTTGAGAAAGAAAATAAGCGAAGGAGACATTCATATCCAACCTGTATTACTATTCTAAAGAGTATACTTTTACATTTGATAGGATAGCATAGACATGACTGAAAGTGTACAGGACAATGTTATCTTGAATCAAATACTTGAAGTGATAAATGTTGTTACATGATGGAATCCTATAAATTGAAATACAGGATCAGAATGAAGGAATGACATTACTGAGAAATGATGTATCATCTCTTAAATGTTGTACACAACCATGCGGCTGATTGTTAAGATTCGTTATCAGCAAATACATTGAATAGGGGAGGAAAAGGCTTCTGCTTTGAATTACTAATAATTTATATTTTAATTTTATGATATGCGTTTATCCTGCACAACTCATGTTTAAAATAATAATCAGATTTCTAATGAAAATTATTGAATACACAGATGACTTAATCAAACATTTGAATTATTAATGATCTATATTTTAATTTTATGATATGCGTTTATCCTGCACATGTCATGTTTAAGATAATAATCAGATTTCTTATGGAAATTATTGAATACACAGATGACTTAATCAAACTTTTGAATTACTAATAATTTATATCTTAATTTTATGATATGCGTTTATCCTGCACAAGTCATGTTTTAAATAATAATCAGATTTCTAATGGAAACTATTGAATACAAATTAGGACCATGATGGCTCACCGGTATACACACTCATTGCAGTATAGCCGCCACACAATTTTGTCAAGTCCCCTTTACAGGGCAAGCCGCAGTTCCTGTCATCCAGTTGCATCGTGTTCAAACAGGTCTGTTTACAGGAGCAAGAACATTTAGAGCGATTGTAAACACCTGCCACTGTAAGTCCATTTTCTTTACATGTTGCTGTGCAGGAGTCGAGTGTGTTGGACTCTGATATATTGACGACGTAATCGAAGTGTAAGCATCCCTGAGGAAAGCAACCGAGGTAATCACCATCTGTAAAATAAAAAGGGGTATTTATCATTCTGAAACGAGTAATACTTGAGTATAAAAATATTTGCTTCGCACTTCATTATTTCAGAAAATGATACTCTCTAGTTCGTGATATATTCATTTGTGAGTAAAGCATTATATCACATGGCACGTTAATAGAAGCTATAAATTTGTTAGCTTTTAAGAAGAAAATATTGGCGGTGGACAAATATAATAGTTACAGTTTTATTTGCAAAACATAAACAGTAAGATTCATTTCTGTTTAATAGTGTATCGTTCCTATATATTGTATAGTATTGCTAACATTTCTATAAAGCAGGTTGGAAGCAAAAGTCATCCTTTAGTAGCCTTGGAAATGTTTTTTTTTTTTAAAGAAACATAATTTAGTTTAAATCTATATTATCCACTGATCCTATGTAGCCTAGAATCTTTATTGTTCACTGATTCCTCCGACGTTCTTTAAAGATTCAACTCCTCAAATTTGACGATAGTAAACTATGGAATACACTTTATGAACGTCATATAATGTTTTAGTTTTTAAGTAAGCATAAAACAATATAATCCACTTTGTAGAGTGTCGTGCCGTGAAATAGCATATTGCTAACACATGTATAAGATAATATTTGAAATTCAGGTAGCTAATATTGGCTTGAGCAATGTAACACATACCTTTAGCAGATCTCTCATGTAATTCGTCTGCAGCAAATGTGGCGTTTTCATCACCTAAAATATCATTTACACTTAAATTTAGGGCAAATATGAAAAGAAGAAATCCAAACATGCTGACAGGTTAGCTCCGCAATACTTTTTCTATGATAAGGTGTTTGCACTTTCAAAACTAGGCTAAATAGTTAACAAATCATACGAATCGTTTAAGCAGATATGTCCTCGTTGTTGAAGTATTGTATTCAGCGATGATTTCTTCAGTGAGGTATTCCAGAGGCGGACTCGGGTTGTCTCTAAAATTGCATCAATGACTATGTGATGAATATCATTATTTGCATTAACCACAATCGTCATTTACCAAGTACCGACTACTTGATACGAAACAAATGTTGATAAATTTGGACATCAAGTGCACTTTCGAACATTAAAGGTACTGTCATAAAATAAATTTATACTGGTTGAGCAGTCCACCCCCCCCCCTACACACACACACACACACACACACACACACATACACACATACTTAATGCAATACTAATAGATTAATTCTTAAATAATATAATACATA